TAATAACAACTTTATTTGTAAAGCGGTTTCAAACAAAGCGCTAGACAGGAGATAAAATCACAGATGACAAGAGGTGAAGTCACAAAGTAAAAATTAGAATCACAAAAAACAAAATGAAAACACAGAAGACGAGACAAAATCACAGGAGAGGGCAAAGCAATAAAAAAACAACAACAAAGGATAAAAATAAAACACGTAAGATAGTTTGAACAGGTGCGTCTTTAACTTAGCTTTAAAAACCTCAACAGAACAAGCCTGCCTGATGTCCTGATTATCCGTTCAATATGGTATTTTTTGGTATTTTTGGTCAATATGGTATTTACGGTATTTTTCTTTTAAAACAGAAATCATACACTTATGGTATTTATGGTATTTTTCTTTTTAAAACAGAAATTATACACTATTTCTCTTGTTAAAACTGTGATTTTTCTAGTTAATACAGTATTTCCCAGGTTAATACATCATTTCTGTAGTTGGTATTGTAATTCTCAGGTAAATACTGTATATGTCTGGGTAAATAGTTTTATCTATGGTATTTCTWGACTTAATACAGCTTATCTCTGGTTAATATAGTATTTCGATAGTGGCATTTCTTTGATTAATACAGAATTTTTCTGGTTGGTACAATATTTCTCTAGTGAATATAGCATTTCTCAGGTAAATACATCTCTTGTGAAATTGTTATAGCTCTAGTTTATACAGTATTTTTTGGTTAATACGGCAACCAACAAAGAGCCCTTCTTACTTTGCCAAGTTAAGAGCATGCAGCCTAGAGGAGCCACCCCCCCCCCCCCCCGCACAAACTGTTGAGAACAAGATGAATGCTTGCAGCACTGAATGCAGGGTAAACTGTTTGCTCTTTGTCATTCAAAGTGACACTTTTAACCATTTGCGCTCCATTTTCCTCACAGTCTAAAAGCCCTCCTCTTTGCTCACCCTTCTCTTCATTCACCCCTGAGACATGGTTTGGGGGGTGTGTGGGGGGTGGCCTGCAAAAGCGAAGATTAAGACTAAAACAAGATCAACTCTGCCCTTTCAGCCTCTAATGGGATTCTGCCTCGTTATGTTTCCACCAAAATGTGTGAAAGCTGATAATTATGCAAAACAAACCCACTTTTTTTTGGAGATGTAAATGCCAGGGATGAACAAGTGAGAGCAGGTTGAGCTTCGGCACGTCAATCACGGCTTTGAATGTGTTCCCACCGCCACAAATGCATCCTTCATGCTGTCAGCAAGTGTCAGGAGTTTTATATTTCYCCTTCAGCGACATGTCAAACCAAGGAGTTCCTCAACAAACCCTTGATTTTAAAGAAGACATGGGCTTCGTATATCTGCAGGAGACCAGAGTAACGGCAGGTTTATCATAAACACAAAAAGGAAAAATAAGGACACTAAACACAACTTTAAAGGGTCAACATGTGAAGACCTACAAGTTTTCCTTCTTTTGACTTCTTTAATGGGATCTCCGACTAGTTGGACAACTATAAAAACTAGATTGTAAAAATATTGTAGGCTGTTTTTGTTTTTATAAATTAAAGTAATATATTATCACATGAACATCGTCATGTTATTTATGCCACAAAGCATTCTGGGTAAATAAAGACTTTTAATAGGTGCTCCGTTGTGACCACTATCCAGCTTTAACGTTAATTTTGGACGTTCAGCTCCATAAAAAGGCGGCACGGTGGCTCAGTTGGTAGAGCTGATGCCTCTCAGCAAGAAGGTCACCGGTTCAAATCCCGGTCCGGGGACCTTTCTGGGTAGAGTTTGCATATTCTCTCCGTGCATGCGTGGGTTCTCTCCGGGTACTCCGGCTTCCTCCCACAGACCAAAAACATGACTGTTAGGTTAATTGATAACTCTAAATTGTCCCTAGGTGTGAGTGAGAGAGTGAATGGTTGTTTGTCTCGTTTGTCTCTATGTGTGTCCCTGCGATGGACTTGCGACCTGTCCAGGGTGTACCCRGCCCCTCGCACAGTGACTGCTGGATATGGGCACCAGTGACCCTGAAAAGGAAGAAGCGTGTACAGAAAATGGATGGATGGAGCTCTATAGAATGAAATRGAAGTGTGTTTATAGAGAGAATGCAGGAATGACTCAGCCTGACTCTGAAAATGATGACAACAGAGCTGCTTCATGGACGGCTCACCTCAGTTTGGCTTTTTAAGCTTTTGCATTAGCGCCTGAGCTAATGATAATAAATGACATAAAATTAATAATACATGTATCTTTATTGTCACACTTTATAGTTTTTTAGCTGTGACTGTTTTTTATGTTTCAAATGGCACCTATTATCATCATCACCGCCAAAATGCATTGAGTCAGTAACAAAACGGCAACATTAAAAATGTCATAAACGTACAATTTTTTACGTAATTACATGTTTTCATGGGTCACATTTAGTAGAGAAATAATATGTTAAGGCCAACATGTGACAGTATTTGGAGATCCCTTTAAACAATACAGACAAAAAAAACTTGAAAAAGGGAAACATAACCCCTTTACATCATGTAAATGAGTTAAAGGGAGGGAGTGTGATTTGCCTGTGAGTTCATAAACAAAGCAACTCACCACAAGGCAAAACATTATATTTTTTCTAAAAAGTAACTTTTAGAATATTTAATAAAATAGTGGGATTTAAAATGTTGCAAAAAACCCTCACACACACAAACATAAAAAAACCTTTAAGACTTAAAATCTTTTTATTTTCAAACGTTAATATATTCATCTTTCTAATCCATCATAAACTATTTCATCCCAACACTCCCAAATCTCAGGACACTTTAATCACTTTCCTTTTAAAATAAATATTTTTTCCATTYTAAAATAATAAAAATCTCCAAATAAATATATAGTTTTAAGTTTACACTAGGAAGTGTTGGAATTAGAAAATACATTTTTCAAATTATGGACTGTACATTTTACAAARCAAATGGCTACGCTTTTTTTCTTGGTGCATTTAAAAAAACCCAGATTGAGGCACATTCCAGTGAACGTTTGAATAAAAGCTGACATAATAGAAACATGCATGTTAACAGGCAGAAAACCTTTCACAGTTGATTTTTTTTTACATGTATACAGTATATATATATACAAAAATAAAACATCTGGAAAACTTATTTTTTCTAATATATAAATTATACTTATTACAGTTAGTAACAGGAGTCTGCTTTCAGAATATTAATCGCATCTTAAACGACTATTATTAACATATTAGGGCACTTGAGTGAAGACTTATTWTTTTAAGAGCAAATACGTTGTCATACTTTACAAGCGTGGAGTGCTTGTTTTGGTTTATTATTCAAGTGAAACTTCTGTTTACTGGTGACAGTTTTGAAAATCTTCTGTGAAAGTTGACTTTTCTGACAGATCTGGTAGACGCTGAGGCTCTAATCACACAACCATACACTTTTCAGTTCAGACTTTGTTTTCATCGTTCTGTGTTTCCAGAACGGTTCACGTTGGCTTGCCGTCTTTTTGGTGAGGTGCGGTTGAGTTTTTGCACCGGCAGCCGGGCCTCGTGGCACGGTCGTAGCAGCACTGGCACAATGCCACACACCCTTTGGCCGGGAGGTAGCACAGCAGACAGGGAAGGAACAAGGAGAGGAGCGATATGGTTGTCCAGCGGACACAGCAGTGCGACTGTGAGCATGAGAAGGGCTGGTCGGCGCACATGTCCTCGTCGTCGCTGGAGCAGTGGTAGAAGAGGCCCTTGACGCAGCAGGCGCATGTCCAGTACTCCACGGCGCTCTGTGCGGAGCAAACGCACCGCCGGCCACACAGCCAGCAGGACGGAAGCGTTCGTGGGCGGCCGCATTCCGAGCACCTGCACCGTTCGCATTCCGAGCACTTGTCGGCATGCTTGTCTCTGTTGACGATGGGCATGCTTCCAGGCGTGACCTCCACCTCCCTGATCTCATCGCTCAGAGGTTTCAGCTCCTCGGAGTTCAGCTCCGAGCGTTTCGGCTGGGTTCTGACGATCTGGTCGCCATTTGCCTGGGTGCCAAGGAGCCTCAGGCCTGAATTGATGCTACCCTTGCTGGTCCGGATGCTGCTCTGGGAGCCCTCCACGCTGGAGGACTGCAGCATGTCTTCTCTTGAGGACAAGGAGTTGCTGGTGTTTTCGTGCTGAGACAAAGAATGCAGGTTGTGGAGGTTTTGGCGCCTTTCTTCCAGAGTCTCTTGCTGCCCACTGGTCCTAACCAAATTAGGCTTCTGTTGAGCACCTGTAGGCCCATCTGTATAGTCATTACTGCTGCCGGTTAACTTGATCTGATCCAGAGACAGTAGCGGTGGAGTCTGTGACCGTCGCCCGCTGTTCAAGCCAGAGTCTACCGAGCCATTGGTGGTTTGTTGCGTGAGTTGTTGTGGTCTCCCATCGTCATGCAGTATACTTGACAACCCAGTCATCGACCCCCCGTGCTGCCCCCCTCCGCCATCTCTGTCGTTCTGACTTCTGGGATCCATCTTCGGACTGAATCGCCTCTCTGGCTGTCGGGGGACACATCTGAAGTCCTGTCAGGAGAGAGACAAACAGTTTATAACCCTGTGAGAGACGAGCCCATGCAAATGATGCCATGCAAATCGTTAACAGACATCAAGCATCACTATGAAAATCACCCCCCAACACACACACAGGTCAGTGTTTGAGGAAGAGATGGACCAGTTCGATTGCACGGTTGTTGCAACGACCGGAGCCAGATTCAGACTCTTGACACTGGAGGGGAGTATCCGGAGTCGAAGCCACAGAAGCTCTTTGTGAACCATCGAAAACAGGAAAATCAGTTTGCTCAAGGCTGTTGTGAGTTCCATAGCCAGGCTTTATGTTTGAGAAGCTGTCCCATCTGAATGCAGATGCTCTCCTGGAGACTTTCTGTTTCCTTACTAATGGAAAAAAAGTCATTTATAAAAGATAAACAGTCATGATGTTGAACACAAGTGTTAAATATCCTCTCCAGTCCCCTTGTAACTTTATCTTCCTGCTGTTATAGTGGCATAAAACGGCAAAAAACAACTTTTTTCATCACTTGTTGCATTTTCAGTTCTGTTTATTTTATATTACAGGGGTTTTATTTCTCAAAACTAAGCAAAAAAACAAGTCAAAGGACTACATTTGCAGCTAAACGGGGTCAATATTTCCTCTTTCTAAAGAAAGAAAAGCTGGTGATCAAAGGTCAGGTTTTGCACATGGGTTTATTGAGTGTAAAAAACTCCACTAAATAAAGATATGGGTCAAAGAGGAGGAGGCTGTGTACAGAGTATTGTGTAAATTACTAAAATATCAAACAGTTCTGACCCATCTATCAAACCAGGGGCTAGGATAGTGTTTTTTTTTCTTGTTTGACTATTTGTTTAATTAAACCAAACATGGAGCAGAGCAAGCAACAGAAAAACATTTAATTACAGCCCTTTTCATGCATAAGGCAGTCATATTGGATTTTAAGGTAAGGGCTGGTGATGTCATCAACGTTCAGAGTGAAAACACTAGCTGCTTTCCATCGCAAATGTGAGCCAAACTTTGTCGATATTCTGTTAATGTTGAAAAACAGTTTCGCAATTGTGGTGTTTCCATTAAGCAAGAAATGCTATTAAAGTCACGCACGAATACGTTTGTTCTCGCGAAAAGACATTACAAACATGGTGGCAATGGATGTAAATATATTTGCTACCATGGCACTAGCGCTCATCATCAGAGGAGATGTCGGAGTCTTATTGAGGCTTTCGAGCGATAAGCCTCTTAAACTTGGGAGTGGATACGTATGCGGCGTTTTTGGAAAATTGTAGTTGGTGAGTTTAATACTTTCTTTTACAACTTCGGTGATTTTACTACTACTTCTACTTCCTGTTGTCTTCTTAGTCGTCGTCTTTTTCGCAAGTAGAAACAGGCGGTTGTTGATCACGTGACTCCCGTGATGCAAACAAAGTGTTTCCATTGCAGTTTTGTGAAACACACCAATTTCGATATGGCCAAAAAAACCACGTCATCCTAGCGCCAAAACATTTTGTCAAAAAAAGAAAGTTTTATCAAAATGGACGTGTTTCCATTGAGCAAACTTATTTTCAAAATTCTAATTTGCACATTTTCATGGCCAATGGAAACACAGCTACTGACTTTATGGGGAGGGCGAGAATTCTACTTTATTTTTTAGACTTCCAAAGCCCTACGAAACCTGCCCTTTATCTGGTTTAGATGATGCCTATATTAAAGATTAAAGTCAAAATTATTTGGGGACTCAAAAATTGTAAGAAAATAGCCAAATTTTCATGTTGTCTCACTTTTGAGTGTATGTGACCAGCGAGCTCATTTTTAATGTAAATACTCAGTTTTCTGCCCATTTTAAAAATTATTTTTCAGTGTGGTTTTAGGGCTGTTTTTGTCAGAAAAATAACTTTAATGCAGTTGTCAAAAGACYTGTAGTGATCTGAAGACGTCGGAAATCCATGCGACAAAATTTAGATGGGATTCAAGACCTTTAGAACAGAAGCTGTTGCACAAATTTTTGGTTCTTGTTTTAAAACTCAAGTGAGAAGACTGCAACTAGAGAGAAAATTGAGAATCACCATCAATGTCTCCAGACATTTTTTAGCTCCCGTTCACCAACTAGMAAGCAAGTAAGTAAGTAAGTAAGTAAAATTTTATTTATATAGKACCTTTCACAGAAATAAATTCACAAGGTGCTGTACAAACAGTTAAGAATACCCATTCAAGAAGACACACATGACAAACATGGGGGAYCAGGTGCACAGGTCATGCAGCAACAGAGACAGAGACAGTTGTGCTACCTTTAAAAAAGAAAAAACTAAAAACCACACAAGGGAAGATGAGAAAAAAAATTAAAGTAAAGTAAAAGTAGTCACAGAATTGAAATTATACTTCACCAGGCAACAAACCTAAAGAGATATTTCAGAGTTTTTGAAGTGATGTTTTGATGAAAGGTATGAAAAACAATCTTACTTGTTGTGGGCCTTGGTTCAGAGAAATGGTTAAAAATCTGACAGGACTGATAAGCTAGGASTGAGCTCCAACGTAGGTAATTATTACACGGCTAATTTATATGGAAGTCTATGGTTARTTGTGAGGGCAAATATCCACAGCAGTAGCTCGTTGTAGCATTTTTGATGAAGGCCTGGAAAACTTGTTGCWGTAATTTTGTAGTATTTCTACCAGATTAACCACGTAATGCTAAAGTTACAAAAGTTTAAAAGGTTATGAAAGACAATGTTAAAAGGTTATGAAAGACAATGTGCAGTATCTGCTTGACCCCCTGTGGATGTGCTTGGACAAGTCATTTAAGTGTCCTGCAGGACCTATGTCCAAAGAAGTCCTAAAACAAGTACAATGTGATACAGTTAGCTGCTGCCGCTAATATTTCTGCATGCAAACAACTGTAAAAATTTATGTAAATAACCGTGAGTTTTGGTTTTGCTCAGTGTGGTCAGAATTAAGCTTTACTTTTCCAAGCTGAGGTTGTTTAGCTACTAACAGGTAAACCACATTACAAAAATTGTCTGGCCCAGCTCTGGTCAACACAAGGCTAAAACACTCATTTGGCAACATTCGGCCTAGATTCAGCAAGGAATGGGGGCCCTTTGGTTACACAGAGGTGATCCTTGCATGGGCCKGCACCACATAAACCACACCATAACTGGGCCGGTTGTGACACYGACAGTTTTGGGCCACATAAACCAAACTACAACCGGGCCAGTTGTGGRACTGGCACATTTTGACCACATAAKCAAAAGTACAACTGGGCCAGTTGTGGCGCTCGAAAATTTGAGCCACATAAACCAAGCGACAAGCGGGCCAGTTGTGGCACTGGCAYATTTGGGCCACATAAATCAAACCACAACTGGGCCAGTTGATAAACCACTTGCCATGCGAGCAGTCAGCCAGCAGTGCTAGCTTGACACCAGATCTGGCCGAAACATGTCTGCTATATGACAATGTATTTATTAATTATAACTTTTTCAAAGGGCCTTATTTTAAGTATTTGAAGAATCATTTCAATGCATACTGAAGCCAAACTATGGAGCTGTCCACATGGGAACACTGTCATTAAGAATCTGTAACAGTTAATCATTTCAGCCTTGCACTCATGTAGTAACTCTTTTTATTCAAAGATTTTCAGATCAAAAAAGTCTAAAAACATCACTGTAAAGGGCCAAAACTGTCATTACCACACTCCCCAACCTACAACCTAAAACTTTACAATTCTTCTGGTTTTGTTTAGTTTTTGCATCCAGGTTGTAAGATTTGTGCTGCAGCTCCATGCCTTGTTTCCTGTTTTTAGTGTATTTTCGTACAGCGCCACATACAGGCCTAATGGTAGGTGCAGCTAACTAGAAACAAAGCTTCACTAACTTGTAAACGTCTAACTAAAAATATAGCTTGGCTAACACTAAATTCCTAAACATGTAAAAACTAAAAAAAAAATAGCAGAAGCTAATGCTAAACAAGTAAAAACTAGTGGAAGCTAACTGCTAAGACAATTGTCACTCTGTCTGTCAAGTCTTTGTGTACTTCAAGCTGAAGACTGACACAAACCTGTTAAGTTTGTTAGCTATAAGTAGACTTCAAGTTGGTTAAAACTAATTTAATTTAAACTTAATTAAATTTAAGATGACGTTCACTTAGTCTGTGACACACGTCTTTGTCTTCCTTTTGACCTTAAGATGGTAGGCATACTGTGTCAACATCAAATAACCATCTGTCAATCTGTTCTGCCGCTAGAATAAAGACTAGAAATAAGTTCTCCACTTCTTCCTCTCTCCTTCCCTCTGGCTTTGCAGCAGGTGCTGTTGTCATGCGTCCTGACTTCCTTCCTGGCCAAATAGATCACACTTAACACACCACACACGGCAGGAACATCTCCTAAAATTATCTTTAAAGCCATCCCWARAATCGGAGCWTCTTTAAGATTGRCAGAAGGGCAAAATCGGGCTTAAAACTGCCACAATTATCTTCCTAGTTGGCTGTTAGCTAATGGTTTTCAAAGTTAGTGAAAARGCTAATCCGAAAAAAAAGTTTGTTTTGCTATTAGCTATTAGTTGTTAGCTAAGTAGCAGAACCATGTCCACCACTCAGCACATGGATTGTTTTTGGTGTTTGTGCGAATGAAGAATGTCTATAAACAGGGTATTTAGAAACTAGAAATGGTTTTCTACGTGGACAAGGTCTTGAAATTTTTACATCCAAGGTGTTAAATTTGTACTACARGGTAGAACCATTTCTAATAAAATGTTTGATTTTTCTTTTTTTTTCTTTTTGTATAAGTACTTCAACGAGACTAATATATAGAGGTGTCCCGATTCCGATACCAGTATCGGTATCGGATCCGATACCAGCATCAAGTACTCGTACTCGTACTCGTAAAAGCCGGCCGATACTCTTAACCGATACCGCTTTTGTCCCCTCCTGTGCTGCGCTGCAGCACAAAGGATAAACAACAATCCATACCAGGCGAGGGCGCTAACGCACTGACAAGTTATTTCCGACTGCACCCCAGAATAACAGAAGAACGATGAGAAGAAGAAGAAGAAATAACATATCGACAGTTTGGAGATATTTAAGAGCAGCACAGAGGAAACAAACCAGCAGAC